CCAGCCTGACCAAAATAAGGTGACTTTGGTGCTGTGGTTTATGGGAAGCGGCCAGCAGCTGGTCTTCTCAAGCTCATGTCACTGAAAAACTGGAAATGAAAAATGAGGTTTATTGGGGAGAGAATAAATAAAACGGCTCCTTGTTGATTTTTGCTAAAAGTAAATTTTATTTATAAGGTATAAAATAGCTAGTGTCAATGTTTAAAAGCAGCCAGGAACTGGTCTGAATTGGTTTTTCCAGGCAATTCTTTGCCCTGGACTGACGCGATTCCACCCTGGCTGTGGCAGAGATCCCCAAGGCGCACGGGGGTGACCAGATCACCCGGGGCAAAATGGGGAGCCCTGGGGCAGGCGCCAAGGATGGGCGGCGTGGTTTGCCTAGCAGAGAGCAATCCCTCCCCTCACCTCCGGAAGACACAAAAATACCCTTTCCCTGAAGCGCAGCCTCGAGCCGTGCGGCTGGAGGGCTGCAGCGACGCTGCTGCCGCTGGGGCCGTCGCAGGACGATGTGCAGGCAATGTCTGCGGGCAGCTGGAATGTGGTGCGTGGGGCTGCTGATACAGAAGAGGACCGTCCTCGGGTTTTGCGGAGATAGCTGCTAGCCAGACACACAGTCCCGAGTCTCCTCGGGAGCGATTACTCCACAGCGAGTTTGATGACATTTATTGTTAAGCCCTGTGTATTTTCTGTGCTTGAGAGGGACGTTTTTCCCTCCCGCACTGAGGCCAGGACAAGCTGCAGCTGGGAGACGTCTCCTTTGGTTTTACGGCAGAGACATTGTCAGTAGGGGGACAAACAGGACCCTTCCAGCCGCCCAGACTTGGCCGCGCGGGATGGGGGCCTTCAGGCTGTCCTGAGAGGGAAAGCAGCTCTTCGGATGAGACCGAAGATCACTGGCAGAAGACAAAACCCTCTCTGAAGCTGATCAGCTCTTACTGCAGCTGTCTGTTTGCAGCAGGACAGAGAAAGATCATCAAAACAACGTATTTGCCAGTGCTGAGCACACACCTGCATGCAGAAGGCTCCCTCCAGCCACAGTTTTGAGCACTCGGAGTTTCTTCCCATTTGGCTGGAGTTGGATGCAAGGGTTTCATAAAGGCTCCTTTTACCTTCCCTGTTTGCTTGGGCACTGTTTTTGCCACTGACCTTGTGTTGCGCATGGAGTGAGTGCACTTGACTCGTAAGAGAGAAGCAAAAATATTGATATAAAACAGTGAGCTAACAAAGTTCAATGGTAAATGCGACAGTGGTTTAACAAAATCGGGTGGCAAGGTACGCTGGATAATTTACTGCATAGAGGACAGGGTCAGACAAAACTGTCAGGGAGACCCTCCTGTTGAGTCATGACGTTCAGAGAGGACCCCTCGCTTTCTAAACTCCTTCTCAGAGAGGAGCCTAGGTTTGGCTGGATCCAATCCTACTCCCAGACTTGGTCAGCGGTTTATGTCTAAAGGATTATACATGCACAATCAATCCTTTATACCACTTAACTAAGATTTCAAAGTTTAGCATGCTATTAGCCACTGACCAAGAATCTGTTGCGGCAAGGAATCTCTCAACCTTGAGGAGTAACCTCGAGAGGCGTCCCTGCTCAAGGGGAGATCTTGGTGTGCAGCCCACTTCCATGCAGGAGGCCACAACGGGCCCTGGGCTGTCCACTATTTATGGAGTAAGAAGATTGACTTATAGTCATATTTGAACTTTTTTGAAAGGTGTCCCTGATCTTCTGGTGTACAACCGGATTCACCTGATGATAGCCCTCATTGCCTGGGAACTACGCTGTGGAGGGCTGTCCTTGCCAGTGACTTTGTCTCGATTTGAAGGCAAGCAGAGGACAACCAAACCTACCGCTGGCAATGCCTGGGAAGGCTTTGCCTTTGTCTTGGAGGCAGGATGAAGGCTTTTGCCTTGTGAGCAGCAGAGTCAGGGCAGGAACGAGGTCTTTTCCTTTGTGGCAAATATACACGAAGGGGGAAAACATCACACAATAGGGGAGTACTCTTGAAGTAATCAATTTCTCCCAGCAGTGGGTATGTATGTGCTGTAAAATACATGCAAATGCCTGTCATGAAAAGCCAAAAACTGCCTCTGTAAAAGCCAGAGCTGGGCACAAAGGTGCAGGGGAAGGGGGAGAGGGCAGCAGCACATGGGAAGTGGCGATTCATCCTCAGCCTCCTCATCTTCTAGGACTGGGCCTTTGATCCAACTTTGCTCCAGCAGGATGAAATAAATGCTGGGGGAGTTATGCAGGTAAGGCCAGCCCTGCCAGGAGGGGTTCACACACAGGGTGCAAAGCAAGGCTGTCCATGCAATTTGAGGGAAGAGCTTAAATCAGGTTTTGATTGCTGAGTTCATCCTTTTAGAAATGGAGATGGGTTTGTTTTTTTCCAATTTTTGCACTGCCTTATCCTTTCCCAAAGCCGGCCATCACCAGGCTATTCCAGCAGCCTCCTCACAGATCAGTGCCCATGTACATACCAGGAGAGAGGACAGGGAGCAGACCTGGAGCGCTGCTACCCTGGGAATACTTCCCAGCCTCTGGGCATTCGTCACTCCTGGATTTCCTGGCCAGAACAGGTGCCTCTGTGTTTAGCAGCTCTGGAGGATTTATCTTCCCTGGATTAATCAAAATTATTTTTCCCCCCATTGAAGGTTTTAGCATCCTCCAGCCCAGTCCTGTGTAACAAAAAGCACAAACCTGCCCCTGGCTTATTTCAGCTGAGGCCATGGGCTTTCCTACCAAGGACCTTCCTCTGCTCCCAGCTTTATTGTCGGCCTTTCCATCCCTCCTCTCTCAGCTCTCTTCCAGGCTGAAAAGTCCCCCTGTGTAGAGCAGAAACACCCGCGATGCTTTCGACCCCTTTGTCTCCCTTCTTCCCCATCCCTGTGCCCTTCCCGCGACGGAGGGGCGGGTGTCCAGTGCCGGACTTGGACACCCGTGTCCCATCTCCCCACGGCCGAGCCGGCTGCACCCTCTGGCGGCAATCCCGAGTCCAGGCCCTGCTTTTCCTGGAAAAAAGATGTGAATTCCTTCGTCCGTCTCCCACCCACGAGGTTGGGGGGGGTTTTGCTCGGGACCCTGCTAGGAGGGGGTTTCAGCACCAGCCGGCATTGGCTGAAGGAGGGATGAGGAGCAGAGGGAGCCTTCAAACCAGCATGGGAAGGGGAGTGCAGGGGCAGCTCTGCCAGCTCACAACGTCGCAGTGTGCACAGCAGCTATATTTATCCACATGGCCGGCAGCTATATTTATCTGGAATGCCACAGGAGCCTAAAGTCTTCGGGGTAATTTCCGTGCTGCGGAAGAACACGTTTTGGGTGTCCTTTTTACTGCAAACCTCCTTCTCTGCTCTCTGCTCCCCTTCTCCAGGGGCCTTTGCTACCTTCTCAGCCCTTCCCTACCTTCTCAGCCCTTCCCTGCTCCTCCTTACATCCCGCTATCTCCACCATGGTGATGCTGGGCTCATCCTTCCTCTGTCCCTCTTGCACAGCCCTCTCTGGGCTCCTTGTCCCGCTGCCGCTCAGAGCAGACACATCTTCATTTCTCTCTCCAAGGGAGCCGTTTCTCCTGGAGAAGGGAGGAGGCCATCCTCTGGCTGCGTTATTCACCCAGCCTACAGTCTGGGCCAGTTTGTGGGTTTCCCAACAAGCCCCTCCAAGCCATGGATGCTGAGGGCTGCAAAACGTGAACTCCCCCAGAAAGGGCAGGAGCAGGGGCACCCCTCTGCTGCCGCCCCCCAGCTGCCCCCCAAAAGGGGGCATTGAACCAACATGTGTTTAACCAACATCCACAGCTGACAAAGGACAAGCCAAGGTGGACAGACAAAGCCCAATGTTCATGAACTTTCCAAAACAAAACAAAACAAAACAAAACAAAACAAAACAAAACAAAACAAAACAAAACAAAACAAAACAAAACAGTCTCCTTTTTTGTTTGGTTCTTTTTTTAAGATGAGCTCATGACTTTTTAATGCTGGGGTTTGGCAGGACGGACTGCATGTCCTCAGCATTAGCAGAGCCTCTTGTCTTGCACAGCATCCTTACGCACTGCCAGGCTGCAGCTGCCATCCTGGAGCCGGCAGGCTCAAGCGGGGCAGTTCCCTTGGTCTCTGGGTGTTTGCCCATCACCCTTAAAACACAGCCCTTGGTTTGTAAAAGATCCTTACGGTCACCTTCTGTAAGAAGATATAAAAGATCCTTGTAAAAGATCCTTACGGTCCCCTTCTGATGTGGAGGATGTGTGTGGGGGGACGTAAGGAAGGGGAAAGGGGAAAAATGAGGGCCACAAAAATGATCAGAGGGGTGGAACACTTCTCCTATGAGGAAAGGCTGAGAGAGCTGGGGTTGTTCAGCCTGGAGAAGAGAAGGCTGCGGGGAGACCTTATTGCAGCCTTTCAATACTTAAAGGGGGCCTACGAGAAAGATGGGGACAGTTTTTTTAGCAAGGCCTGCCGACAGGACACAAGGGGTAACAGTTTTAAACTAAAAGCGGGTAGATTCAGACTAGATATAAGGAAAAAAGTTTTCACAATGAGGGTGGTGAAACACTGGAACAGGTTGCCCGGAGAGGTGGTAGATGCCCCATCCTTGGAAGCATTCAAGGCCAGGCTGGACGGGGCTCTGAGCAACCTGATCCAGTTGTAGATGTCCCTGCCCATTGCAGGGGGGATGGACTAGATGACCTTTAAAGGTCCCTTCCAACCCAAAGCATTCTATGATTCTATGACTCCAATATTCTGTGGTTGGGACTCTGGGGCTCGCCTGGGCAGGCGCTGCAGCCTGGCAGGACGTGCTGCCCGGGAGAGCCAAGGTCTGCAGCCTGGGCTCAGACCTTGAGAAACTCAACTCCTCCCTGCAGCTTTACGGCTGCAACAGCTTTATCAGCCGGCAAACGTGACTCCTCCCGCCGCGGGGAGAGGCGGAGAGGAAGAAGGCGGTGGCTGGGCAAGCAGTAACACAGCTGCTGCCGTAGGGCCGGCTCCCGGCTCCCGGCCTGGGCTCGATGGGATCCCGTCTGTCCGTGGACGATTCCGTGCGGGTGGTGGTGGTCGGGGGAGGCTTCGGAGGGACGGCGGCCGCCAGCCTGCTCAAGTCCTGGGCCATCCCCTTCGTGCTGGTGGACGTGAGAGACGCTTTCCATCACAACGTCGCTGCCCTCCGCGCCGCCGTGGAGAGCGGTAAGGGCTCAACTGATTTCCACGGCTTTCCCCCTGCGTGGGTCCCAGCGGGTCAGCTTTTACCCCCCACCAGTGACCACAGCAGCTCGGAGGTACTCGGGGAGTAAAAAGGAACGGAGTACTGAAAGTGCCTCCTCCGCCCCAGGGATGGGGAAAGACTTGATGTTTTCCATGTGGAAAACAAATAAATACTTGGCTCTGGGAGGATGCACAGACCGTCTGTGTTAAGCTAATTGCATGTCCGCTGGGAAAACTGAGGAAAAACTACTCGGATGGTCTTTTTTTTTTGGTTTTTTTTTTTTTTTTTTTTTTTATTTCAAGAGTTTAGAAGGTGACTAAGCTAAAACCAGCAGCAGCTGGAAGAGGTGAATCAATGTCTTCCTGTCTCTGGCACTTGAAATGTCGAGCAGCTCAGCAGTGAGGGCCTGGATGGCAGAATTCTGTGGGTGAGCTGCTCAGGCTCATCTGGGATCTCGTTTGGGAGAGTGGGCTAACCCCATAACTCCAGCTGCTGAGGATTTAGGGGGAAAATCTCATGTTCAAGGCTGGGAACAAGCATCAAAAAAATGTCAAAAGCTCGGTCTGAGAGGCAGGTAACATGACAAAAAGCCTCTGACATCCTGGCTGAAATGCCCTGGACCACAGCGGAGCACTTACTAGCAAACCGGTACAGGAGATTCTGTGTGGGGAGCAGAGACAAAGCAATCTAGGAGAGGGTCACCTGGCCTCTGAGGAGCTGATCTTGTCACCAAATCCAAGGCAAAGGTCCCGAAGCTCATTGCTGGGCAGAGATAACGCACAGCAGAGACCCAGCCCGTGGTCCCAGCTGCATAGAGTGCTTTTGTCGGGGCAAGGATGGCATGAGGGGAGGAGGGAAGAGGGGTTCATTAGCCTCTGCAGAGGGAGATCTCTTCCCTGTTGTCTCCTCTTACCACAGGATTTGCCAAGAAGACTTTCATCTCCTACTCTGTCACCTTTGGGGACAGCTTCCGACAAGGCAAGGTTGTCGGCATAGACCCTGGGAGGCAACAAGTCTTGCTCAGTGATGGTGAGGTGGGTGATGCGATAAAATCATAGAATCGTCAAGGTTGGAAAAGACCCTTAAGATCATCGAGTCCAACCGTCAACCTATCACTGCCAAGTCCATCTATACCATGTCTTCCACCGCCATATCTCTCCGTTCTTTAAATACCTCCAGGGATGGAGACTCAACCACTTCCCTGGGCAGCCTGTTCCAATGCTTGACCACCCTCTCAGTGAAGAAGTTTTTCCTAATGTCTAAACTAAACCTCCCCTAGTGCAGCTTGAGGCCGTTTCCTCTCGTTCTATCTATAACTTGCAGTGAGGAACCTGGCTGCCTTATGGGATCACCTGCTAACGCAGGGAGTCAGCCTTCAGCAGGGTGTGTTGTGAATCTCTCCTCCTTAGGGTTTTTCTTCAGCTATGTCGTGGCTGTGAGAATGCAGTATTCCAACTCTAGGCTATGTTGGCTTTGACTGGTGATGTCTGGTTGGAGAAGTGACTTTGAATTTAGGTTTCAGGCTGCTGTCTGTGCTTGGAGTCCTCTGAGGGGGGAAAAGCAAGATGAGCAGGACCACAGGGCACCTACAGAAAATGTGCCTCTGAGCAGAAGGAGGAGTGTAACTCTCATCCGCCAGAGGAGGCGGGGGTGTGTGCAGGACAGAATCATGCTCTGGGAAAAACAAACTGGACCTTTGCCCTCGGGTTGGACGAGAGCTGGGAATGCTGTTCAGTTGTGACAAACACCCCCTTATCTCCGACAGCGCAGGTCAGCTGCGCACACGAACCCTGACCTAGCCGGTACCCCCGGGCTCGGGGTTCACAGGCGCAACAGGGTTCCTGGTCCGATGTAACCCTCAGCTTGGGTGAAACGCCTGAACCCAAGCCCTCTGGGAAGTCACTGACTGCTCTCCTCTAGGTGTCTGCCACCTGTGGGCAGATATACAACTGCTCATGCTTAATACTGGCCCAGTAACGCTAGGAGGTAGAGAGGAATGAAACCAATGACCTACTTCTATGGAGGGCTGCCCCAGAGAGAAGCAGGCCCCCAGCCATCTCCTATAAAACCAAGAGGCAATGTGGGGAAAGACTGCAGCATTTAACCATCCTGAAGAACCTGGCAACAGAGACCATCTTTCCCCACATGCGCTGAATGGCACCGTCCCTCCTAGCCAAGCTAAGTGACCTAGAGCGGTGTTGCAATGTGGGTGTGCAGTAAATACCGCACCCCACCTAGTGCTCAGATGAGTTTTTATTCTTAAAGCTGGATTTAGAGCTCAACAATTAACCCTGGAGCTCAGATCCTTATCTAACTCCAGGAAGAAACAAGGGCAGCTGCTCTGATAACTCTTTTCAGCCGGAGCATCTTGTTTCTGTTCAGAAGAGGGTGAAGGAGAGAAGTTGGTCTCTGGAGCCAGCTGTGGTGGCAGCGTCAGTGTCTGGCATAAATATCAGGTTATTTCCTGTAAACTTAGGGTAATTTCTTCACAGCTCTCAGCTCACCTGAAGAACGGTGCTTTTCTCCGACCCTGAGGAAGGCAGTTACTTGCTGTCACCTGGACCAGGTCTCTTCCTTAAGTCACTTTCTGACAGTGGCAAGTACTTTCCTAGTTATCAGCAAGGGCTGGAGGAAAGGGAACGAGTGAATACTCCCTAGGAGGCAAGAACTGTTTTCCAGGCTCTGGTTTTAAGAGGTCTAACATCCTATTCTACCTTCTGCCCTCCCAGGAGCTTCACTACTCCCATCTCATCCTTGCAACTGGCAGCGATGGGCCATTCCCTGGGAAGTTCAACCAAGTCATTGACATGGAAAGTGCCATCCAGACCTACGAAGACATGGTTAAAGAGGTGAGGAATCAACTTACTTCCTAGGAAGTGCTGCCTGCCTTTGTTCAGCTTCCCCGTCCCAGACACCACTATGGGTATCTGGAGACATCTGTATCTAAGAACAAGAGACCATGATGTCTGCAGGGACAGGCCGGGACAAGGAGCATGTGCTAGCTTGTCTGGCATTCTGCGTGCCCTGGGGAAGATCAGCTGTCCGCACAAGGGGAAACCCGAAATGTTCAACAGTGTTACAGTGTACACAGGAAGAGTGCAAGGGGTTCTCGTTTTTTTGTTTCCTTGTAATGAACTAGGTGGTTTATTGCTGCTGGGCCAGTACTGTATCTCAGAAAGGTGTGTTCACGGAGTGGCTGAAGGTATCTGACTTCCAGCACTTAACAGTTCTCTTGTAACATGAGTCTCCTCTTTACTTCAAGATTGAGAAATCTGAGCGCATCCTGGTAGTGGGAGGTGGTGCTGCTGGAGTCGAGATGGCCGCAGAGATCAAAACAGAGTACCCAGCCAAAGAGGTAGCAGCATATTAGTTACAATTAATTTCATCCTTGTTTCTGAGACTGTTCTTCTGTGATGGTCCTGCTGGAGGTATCTGAGATCACTGCAAATCAGGAGTTTCCATGCAATGCCAGCCTTCGCCCCTACCGCCTCCTTTTCCGAGAGCACCCTGTAGCCTGTCACTGGCAATTATTGGCACTAGATGCCTTTCACTGGCTCGGTCTCCTTGTGCATTAAGTGGGGTGGAAGGAAGCTATAGCTGCTCCCATCTAGCATGCGGCGAGTCCTGTCCCATTTCTCTGTGCCCCTGTTTGCTGTTTTGTCCCCAACAGGTCACCCTCATTCACTCAAAAATTGCACTAGCTGATGTGGAGCTGCTAGATAGCGTCCGTCAGGAGGTGAAAGAGATTCTCCTCAGAAAAGGAGTGCGCCTCTTATTAAGTACGTACTTAATGATGCCTCTGAAGATCTAAACTCTGAAGCTTTATAAGCTGCTCCTCCTTTAGCCAAAGCGTCTCCTTCTGACGTCCTCTTTCTGACTTCTTTGACTAAGCATGGCTCCCTTGAACGCCTGTTTCTCTAGATGGATCTGGGCTAGCTGGAAACGGCAGCCTAGTAAAGGTTTGTGACCCAGGGCTCTCTGTTGCAACAGGTGAGAGGGTCAGCAACGTGGAAAACCTCACACCAAACCAGTTCCAGAAGGACATGGTAGTAAGGACAGAAAAGGGCACCGAGGTGGTTGCTGACATGGTGGTCCTGTGCACGGGGATAAAGATTAACTCTTCAGCATACGCTGCCGCATTTGGTAAGTGAAAAGAAACCACTGGGTGGGGAGAAGCAACACGGTTCTTCGATGTCTTGTGCTTGAGTACTGTGAAGTTAGGAATTAACCTTATACAACCTGCAGTGGTTATTCCATGATATATCGAACATGCTCACATCACATTAAATACTTAATTGTGAAATGTGACCTTCGGAAACTTACAGACCAGAGATCAAATGGCCAACAGTCTTCTCCAGCTCCTTCTGCTAGTACCTGCAAGGAACCTAGTGTCCTAGTTCAGCATGAGGCAGATGACACCTAGAAGTTGATGGTAACTCCTGCTGTCCAGGCCAGGATTTCATCCTAGATATAAGCTTGCTGAGCTCTGAGCAAAAACAGGCTCAGCAGATACAGCATTCTTGCTGAACGGTCAGTGTCACAGGGCATTCAGCCGATTAGTTATTCGGTGATACATCTTCAGTCCGAGTCCTCCTACAGCCCAATTTCAGCTATAGCACTACAACTGTGGAGCAGTATGACCATTATACAGTCTCTTTCTCAGGCTGCGTATGCAAGCTCTTAATGTTTCTTGATGTTTCTACTGAAATGTCAAAGGATGAGTCATTGCATGAGACTGCAATAATTAACTACAGCAAGGCAAAAAGCATCTCTTCCCTGGCACGTAGAAAAGAGGACGAAAACCCAACTCCTCACTTTGTGTCAATGACGTGTTTGATAACATCATCAGCATTTTGGGGTCTCAGGCCACAACAAGCAACACAAAGCTCCTTCTGAAAACTTACTGTTTGGCAAAACAGGGGACAAAATGGCAAGTAACAGTGCTTTGAAAGTTAACAAGCACCTCCAGCTGGAAGGCTATGAGAACATCTATGCCATTGGGGACTGTGCAGATCTGAAAGAACCGAAGATGGCCTACCACGCTGGGCTCCATGCCAACGTCGTGGTGACAAACATCATCAACAGCCTGACACATAAGCCTCTTAAAACCTACGAACCAGGTAAGGTAATCTGCCAGCACCTGGCCTTAGCTGTTGGGCTGCTTTTCTGCAGGGAACAGCTGTTTAACACGTACACATCAGAACTTGCATGGGACATTGATTAGAGGTGAAGGAACTCACAGTTGGGGTTGACTATATACGTTTATAGCTCAGGCTTCATCTTATTCTTGCCAAAGACACTGTAGATGTTAATTACCTGTGTCAGTCTACAGATGCATGTGTCCTTTTGTCACTAATGTCTTCCTGATAAATCTACTGGTGGGTGTCTTCTGCTTTGCATCAAACTTGTTTCCTTTTCTTTAAATTGCTTACTGTTCAATTGTTCTCCTCCTTTCTCCCCTTAAACTATACAACAAACACAAACTGAACAACCTAGTCTCAAAAATCTAGCTAGGTGATAGGTCACAGTAATAAGCAACTGATGTAAATACTTACCATAACTATGATGAAAGCTATTCCACATGGATGGAGGATATCTGGAGAGCAGTTTGGTTTTTAAAGGCTGCCCTGTCTATTTACATTTCTTTCTGCTTAAATTTTGTTGTCTACCTCTTCACTGCCTCTTGGGAGCAGAGATTCATTCGACACCATGCACACAGCGCAATCCTTCAGCAATCCCATTACTGAAAGAGGTAGGGCAGATGGTAGAAAGGAGAGAGTTGTGAGTAGTTCTCCTTGGGCCTGCTTCTTTCCTTGCCATGCAGCACATGGGTCCTGTGCTTAGCAGTACGTGTGGGTATGTGGGGGGTGGGAAGGAAGGGCTTGCAGAAGTGCAACACCTACATGTAGTAAGGTTTGATACTTAGCTTTGAAACTGCTTCACTTAAACCTTTACATCTTCTTTCTCTGCTTTCAATGGGCAGGAATGATGGCGTAGGCCAGGTGAACGGTTACTATGTGGGACGTCTCTTGGTGACCATTGCTAAGAGCCGGGACCTGTTTGTCTCCAAGAGCTGGAAGACCATGGGACAGACAATGCCCTCTTAAGAGGGGATCAGTAACAAACCAGCAAGGATTACAGCAACTGGAAGAGGGTGAGGGTGCCCTTTTATGGCTTGGACAGACTGATACTGTCTCCTGCAGCACCTCCTAAAGCCACCTGTCAGCATGCTGCATTGAAGGGGTGCCCTGCCTGGCTGTAAAGGGGAAGGAGGCACTTTCCAAATGAAGTGCACAGAAGTTCTCATGACAAAAACCAGGGAAGGAATATTTCTTTTACTTCCCTGTTGAGATAGCTCTGAGCAAGAAGCTTGGTTTACCTTGATTTGTAACAATAAACACTGTGGTTTTCAAAATCTCTGTGGTTTGTTTGTTTGTTATGTGGTTTTTTTTTTTCCCTGGCTTTCTCTACTCTTACTCTTCTAAAAAGTACCTGCCTCTTACAGATCTGGAACCTGCTCTGCAGCGTGTAGGAAGAATGGCTCGCAGCACTGCCTGGGGAAAGCTTTGAAAGCTGGCTAAAGCCTTGAAGAGGCTACGGTAATCCTGGAACTCAACAGAATATAATGCACCTTTGTGTCAACATCTCCACAGCAACTTTAGTTACGTCACTTATACCACTATACTTCTGCCAGAAGAGCTGGTTAGTTGTGTGCTAAGTGCGATAGAGCAAGCACTTAATTACAGATGCTGCTGCCTTTTTTTTTTTTTTTTTTTAAGGTGAGAAATTCCCAGAGCGAAAGTAGAGTTTATAACAATAACCACACTTGACACATCTTTTTCTTTTTTTCTTATAAAACAAACAAAATCACCATGAAATACTCTCAGTAATTACAGAGATTATTGTGAGTTAAAAGCAAAACAGAAGCTCCTCATGCATCACTTCTAAAATCCTTTTCCCCTCTCTGTGGGCTGGGGACAGAAGTTTACCATCTACCCTCAAGGGAGGGGAAAAGGGAGCAGAATATTTTTAAGAGCTTTCTTTAAAGTGTGTGTGTGTGTGTGTGTGTGTGTGAAAAATTCATCACTAGAAATCTAAAATGAGGTTACTCTTTAAAAACTTCTAAACTAAAGTAACAAGGGACACTAAACAAACTCCTGAAAAGAGATGGTAACTCAATTGCTTAAGGTGATATAAATGGCTAGAGGATGCTGATAGCATGAAGAAAGCGGACTAAACCCCTCTCATCTCTAGTCACAGCTCTTCATCAAGTCACAACACATCACACTACTACCACTCCCCCTCCTCATCACATTGAAAAAATAAAACCCACCTCTAATGCTTTTAATGCTACTCAAGTTTGTTGAAAAATAAAGTTTCATTTGGCTGCCATTGCTACTTAGTGTCTAGCTTGGCCATTTCTTGCACATAGATGCCAATACTTTCACTGTCGAAGAGCAGAAAGTAAATGTTCTTCAAGGAGGAAGAGCTGGTGCCGTCAAAATGGGTGGAAATAGCTCTTAGAGTCACCTGGGCTGCCGTCTGTTTGGGGAAGCAGTTTCTATGTGGTAGGGGAAGAAAACAGAACAAGTGAATGTCAGCCACCTGTGCAAGCATTATGCACACGTGACACTGAAAGGAACAAGCCATAGCTGTACCAACTACAGGCTGCTGTTAATATAGTGCCAGTGGCAGTTTTGCAATGTGTAAATCCCAGAAGCAAACCCCAACGTTTTGATAGCAATATTCATCTGCTGCTGTATTAGTTTCCTTGCTGGTATAGTTACTGTTTTCATTTTTTTCTACTTTTTATAAGCACACAAAGTTTTTTAACACTCTCCCTTAGAATTAAACTTTTCCATGCCATGCTGCGCAGGCTACAAGGTTCAAGGGATGATTTTTTTTTTTTAGTTGAAAGCAAACAAACAAAAAAATCAACTACTTTTAGCTGACTTCCTCACTCTGTCATTAAAAATACGTTGCTTGAGACTTCAGTGAAAATAACTGAAATTACAACCCCAAGCCAAATTAAGGCCAAGACGTATTCATTCATTCATTTTGATGGTAACATTCTCTCACCTACAATCTGAAAAGCTAAAAGCTACCAGTCTTTACAGTAAGTGGACTTTTCAACTGTGCGGACATCTCTTAGGGCACCTGGTCCACACCCTTGAGATTCAAGTTTCTTGGCAACAGCATTTTTCCCATCTTAATCGTTCTCATACTCCTTGTCAAGTCCCAAAACCATTCAGCTGCAACACAGTTCCTTCGCCCTTATCTCCACGCTACAAGGCAACTGGCTGAAAGCACTTCGCAAAGAGCACAGTTACTATGAAGGTCAGCTGCTTTGCATCTCTGTTTATATAAAAATATGACTGCTATAATACCGGACATAATTTCAAGAACTGTTCTACAGTTTGAACTTGATCCCTATCTAATGAAACACTCTGCCTTGCAGTATATGCTCCTGCTTAGGAAGGTCTCCACATCGTTCTGCTGTCTAACACTAAACAGATCCCTTGACCTAGAAAGCATGCCTTCCTGAAGCGATATATGTGTGTCTCTGCCACTGACATCTGGAGGGCAGGATACTCTCCTGCATTCCCTGCTGGAGTTTCTCCGCTACCTGACAACGCTTGTAATAGTTCTGCTGATTTCGCACAACACTGAAGAGTGTCGACGCAGTGCTTGCTACAGGAGCATGTAGGAAGCCACCTACCTTGGCGAGTTTGGATGAGACTTCGCTGGGACACAGCAAATTGTTTGAAGGTGAGTTAAGACCCAGCTGAGATTTCAGGTGGGTCTTTGGGCATAACTCTGCTGGCTGCTCTTGAGTTTAATGCCTCCTATTTAGATTCTACTGCATGATAATGCTCCAGAGGAAGTTGGATCCATGCCAAAAAAAACTGGCCAGCACAACCTAGCCCATGTCCTTCCTCTGAGGCAGGATCACATATAACTTTTCTGCTTCTGAAAAAAGTTCATCTAACCTATACTTAAAGATCTTCAGTCATGGGGCTACATCAGAATACACAGATAAGCCATCCCAGTGAGTAAGAATCCTTACACTTGAAAAATTATGGTATTTCTTTTAATAGTATCCAGAGCTACCTTTGCAGTGTTTTTTTTTCTTTTTTCCCCATCTCTGATAGCACTGTGATGTGCATTTGTTTTTAGTTCCCCTTCTAAGTTTAGTACTACTTACTTCTCCTCACTCAATTTCATGTTAGTGATTTCAGACTACTTATCATATTCATATTAAAAACCATCCAAAAAGAGCTTGGAAACTAGTCATCAACTGCTGTATCCATATTCACTGTAATCCAAATGATTACTAGCAAACAGATTTTCCTACTTTTAGTCCCTGGACAGCATCTGCGGCAACCCAGCTAATACGCCTTTCTGGCAGCAAGCTGTCTTTTGACTTTTTGAAAACATTTTTCAGCTAATTTATCTGCTTCACAGCACAAGTCATTTCATCTAAACTGCATTTCTCTATTTTTTAATGACAAGATCATAGAGGTGAAAAGCCCTGGCAGAATTGAGATATCCCACCTATTGCTACATTATACTAGTTACTGTAAACAGTCCTTACGATGGAACAGAGGAAAGAAGAAAATTCAAAGAGCTGATACAGCCAAATTCCCAATCTATCCAACAAAACCAGCATTTCTTGTGCAGACATGTAGGTGGAATAAAATGACAGCAAAACCATTAAGTCTTATTTGAAAAACTCTGCCTTTTTTTCAGACAACTTCGAGGTCCTTTGATAAATAAAGCGTAAACCAGCAGCACCTGGTAAGACTTACTCTATTTTCTGTTAGCAGGAGTAATTGTAAGAGCAATAGAGAGTGAAATGGAACTAAGCAGCAGAAGGATCTGCACTAAGACTAATGCTCCAAGACTGGATTATTCTTAGATAATGCTCATAGGAGACATGAGGTCTATAGAGACTATTTCTATTGGCCTTAAAAGCTACAGTTCATTTTTGAAAGTGGAACTTCATTATTAAAGAGTGGTAAAACAATTTATCACAGTTTGCTTTGACTGAACACTATAAACAAAAAGATCTGTGTATAAAGGAAGAAAAATCATTGAAAATTGTACTGTCCCCCTATTTATTCTTTTGTCCTGATACATAAAAATATTATTTTGTCTTGAAAACTGTCTGTGTAAAAACGGCATTTTCATCTCCTGTGTATTCAGTGATGTGTGGTCATTTCACTGATCAAAACTCAGTTTTACTTTCATTTTATTCACTACCATGCCAACACAACTGGACTGTACTATGTACTCTACTCTTCTCTTTGGGCATTACTAACAAAATCAGTAGTTACATTTCCAATTAAACATAAGCGTGCAAACTCCAACACGGAAGAGCAACTTCTGCAGTTAGCAGGGCTTGTAAGGTTTCTTGTGATCAGAGACCAAGCCAGATTAATGAATGTCAGTTTAAAAAAAAAAAAAAGAAAAAAAGAAAAAAGATAAATACTTTGGATTTCTTGGTTAAGCACATTTTATTTGCTAGTTATTGAGAAAGAAATGTGTAGTTTCACAGTAGGTTTCATAGTTCCCTTTTTAAAGCAGAACTATAGTTGAGAAACATTGATTTTCTTTTGAAAGAAAACATTTTGTGTGACTAGTCTGTTTAATATATATTCTCAGGATGACTTAAGTGAACACCTCACATTTACCTAGCTCAGGTTGCATCACTGTTACTTGCCTTCAGTATTATGCTGGTATAATCTTATTAGTACAAATGTAGTTTTAATAAGATTCAGCACAGCAAAATGAAAGGACTTAAAAACGTAGGTGGTGCAAGCCCATAGTAGAAGAATGAAAATTACTGCCTAGCAATAGAAAACACAGCAAGTCCACTCAGCTCTCCTGCGGGTTAGCCGATTTCGCTATATAAAGGCTTTCTGGTCGTTGCATGCAAATACTGCACTTCAAGCTCCTTTAATCTAAAGCACGGTGTCAGATGGCACCTGCCACAGCGCTCTCTGTAGGCAAGGTCAGCCTCTTTCATGCCACAGACCAGAGAGTACCTCTCGATCACAGCAGCAGCTCTCTGACAAAGAGCGGTATCTCTCTCTATATATCTCTC